GACTAAATCCACTTGTCTAATTGAAATGCTATATCAAAAATTGAGGTCCCAAAGTCTGTCAATTTAACTTTCTTTATTTAAAAAAAGTAACACAAATGTCGATAAAATTTCATACAACAATCGTTTTTAACAACAATGTGTATAACGATGCATTATTTTCAATAATAAGGTTGAAAATAATATTTTAATAATTTATAAAGATATTTTTAATAATAATATGTTAATAATGCATTATTTTTAATAATATACTCGATAAAATGGTAAGGAGATTGGTTGAAGAACAATACTTTAACAATTTTTAAAAGGTTGTTTTTATGAACATTTATATTTCCTAATTAAACTTGGTGCAACTCTTTGAGGATTAGAGACTTGTATGCATATTTTATTGGGAAAAGGGATAAATATGTTTATTAACTATTGCAAATAATGGTATACACATATCATCCGTCATACTTTTAATACATTGATGTCTTTGCCGTCCAAAAACTAGAGCATATAAATTCTTTATACTAATGGACATACACGTGTCATAATTTTATCTATAGATTCGAAATTTATTTTATATCGGATCGACGAATAAGATTACGTCACTCGTCCTATTTAGTCTTTTGTTAATGTAAAGAGCATATTATTCTAGCTTTCGGATGACAGAGACACTAATATTTCAAAAGTATAATTGAGTATACCTGCATATATAATTTACAATAGTTCAAAATATACTTATTTTTTTTCCCTATTTTATATGATAAACTTATATATGAATCGAAAATATTTGATAAAACATCTCATCATATATTTACGAACTCAATTAAAATGTATGGTAATTAATTGTAATATAATGAGACAACAATATAAACAAAACCTTCCTAAAATACAACGTGGATTACTCAAAGAATCTAAGGTTGAGATCTTTTTTTGTCCATTTAATGCTTTGCTCTCTGTCTATACCAAAATATTATAGGCAGACTGTGACTTATCTCTGTCAAATTTTTTCCTCTTTTTACTGCTTTGACTTGTTGCCTTCACCTAATAGATTCTTTGCAGTAAATTTTTCTTCTGTTAAAAGAAATGGACTTAATTCAAACCATAAAAAGTAGCTCTAGGAAGAATTATCCTAAATCATTTACCAAGATTAAATTCTTATCACGTGAATGATGCGGACTCCAATATTTTTACACGTTAGAACTAGACATCTAAAGCATGAACAATATAAGATAAAGGGTTCTAACAAAAAAAATTAGAAGCGAGGATGATATAAAACGGAAATACAACATTAAGGGCCCGTTTGGTCATAAATTTTCCAAATAATATTTGGAAAAAATTTGGCAAATAATGTTTGTCCATACAATTTGTCATTATTTGGCAAATATCCCAAATTTCCAAATACTAGTTTTTTCTAGTATTTGGGCCAAATATTATTATTTGGGATATTTTAAAAATTAAAATTTTACCCCAATCTTTTATCTTTTACAAAACACCCTCTCTAGTATTTGCTTGCGTTGTATTACATCATTTTTTACGTGAACACCAAAATAGTGATGAAATATTTAGTGAATATTAAATAATGATATGACTGTTGATGAAAATTATTAAAAATTGACTTTAGGTAACAAAGTCATGTACTTTATCTACTTCACAATGTATGGAATAATTCTTGTTGCACTCACTCCAAATTACCACATTGCTTCAGTGTCATGGACATTATTTGTTATTGTTGTAACTAACATTCAATTGACTTGTAATACAAACTTTTAGTTAGTTTTGATAGTTTTTAAAACTTGTGTGTATAAATTATATTTTTCTAAAAAGGTGAAATATACTTCCCAAATTTTATGGCCAAACACATGGTGAAATTTCACCCAAATTTTCACTCAAATAATATTTGCCAAGAATATTTGAAAATCTATGGCCAAACGCTAGCTAAAAACAATGAATTTGGATATATCTGGCTCAAATATCATGTTAAGGAAATGAATTCTCGTCTAATTCAACCCGAAAGCCTTCTTTTATAATACAACAAATAAATAATTTTGGGATAATAATATACTTCTCGTTATATTATGTTAGTGGCTTTAATATAATAGCGAGTATTTATTAGCAATACTCTTTATAAATATCGCCATAGACTTTTGCAACTGATCGAGATACAATAACCTCAAACATCGTTAAAAGAAAAATCTATTGTCAATAAATATCTCTTTTGCTATACTTTGCATGAGGATTACAGTCCATATAAAGGAACAAATCTCCCAACCCTAGTCACTCGACGCTTCCTCCCTCCTCATATCCAATACTGGACATCTAATATCATATAAAAAAAGTAATTTTTTAAATAAACTAACGTAACCTCAAAAACTAATACTAAAAAACTTATTTATAATTCAGATAAAGACACTAAATTCTCGATCCCTCGAATAATGTTGTACTCCATCGATTGGGAGGTATAGTGTAGCCCTTCCCCTATACATACTATTTTTGTTTGAAGGTTAATACACAAGAGTGAAGACAGAAATTCAAACTCCCCATAAACACGACAAGTTTAGAATTTTTATTTGAATAAAGTAAAGTTTTAATGTGTTTGAAATTGAATGAGTATGTGGTGGGTGTATCCAAACTATAGGTCTTTTGTACATTTACAGCTTTGGTCTCTGTCAAAAATTCCTCTTTTTAGTGCTTTGACTCCTTCCCCTTCAACCTATCCTATACTAAATAGACTTCTCTGCCGTTGAAACATTTCTTCAAACAGTAATACAATTTTGGCCCATACCTCTACTATAGTTTCGATCATTAATTTTGAAAATTTTATTTTTAAATATCTATTTGATCATAAATTACGATCATACGCTGAAGTTTGGTAAAACAAGACTTTTGATATGGTAAATAGGAATAGAGTAAATACCATGCATGTGAATTTATAATGGAACCATTCATAATTTGTCCATAACATTTAATATGTTACTCTCTCTGTCTTTATTTAGTTGACACACATATTAAGATAACAGTAATTAACATAGTGAAGTCATAATTTTACCTTTATTAATTATGATTTTAAAAATGATAAACCAAAACTTAAAATTTTAAAAAAATTTAAATGATGATATAATATAACTTTTTTTGTACTTTCTTGATTGGTCAAAATGAACGAGTAAACAGGGATATAGAATAAGAGAAAGTAGATTTTACGGAATTAAATTTAAACTCTAAAATCTTAATATAAATTCTAATGTCATATCTTAATTAAAAAAATTCAAATTACTCGTTAATATTGTCCATAACCTTATGAACCAATTTACGAGGTATTGATATATCAAAACTGAATTTAAATATTTTAAAACTGAATAAGGGTTTAAAAAGAACAAAAAATAAAAAAAAACAGAAGCGTGCACGGAGCACGAAGCATTTCATAGTGACGCGTGTGGGGTTAAAAAGTCTATTTTCAAACTTTTGAAACTTTCCTTAAATTTGAGTGATTTGTTACTTTTTTTAATTTTTTAATAAATAATGCAGAAAAAGCAACTACATTGTATTATATTGTCACCTAGTATTGTACCTATGAATAAAATTGTATATTCCGTCGAGATAGACTCTGGTGCATTAATGAGAGTGATTCCATTTTAGTAATAGGTTTTGAATTTGAGCCTCATTAATGAGAGTGATTCCATCTTAGTAATAGGTTTTGAATTTGAGCCTCAATATGAAGAAATAACATTCTTGAATGGGTCTTTCATTGCACGATTCGCATTTATTTGGGTTGTAATGTGGGCAATAGATATCGAACGGGAAGTTAAAAAAGTTATGTATCATCTCCATTTCATTTTATGTAACATTGTTTAATTTGATATAATATTTAAGAAAAAAATGATAACTTTTGAAATATTTAATGTAAACAATTCTATTTTATATTATAATTAGTTTATGACATAACATCGAAAATAACAGACTGATGACTCTCAAAAATTCTTTTTGACGGAATTTTTTGACACCTCGATGTCAACTCATCACATCCTGAGATTGAATTTAATTCTAATTTATTTACCTTACCTCAAAATGGAATATATATTATTCAATAAATAATTTAATCCGAGAACCAAACGAGATTCAGTGATATATACATTGTCTCAACAAATTAGATGAAAAAAGTAGATAAATTCTCTTCATCCCACCACTCCTATAAAGCAAAGTAAATAGAGTAAAGCTGATTTTTTTGCTGCTTTACCTATCTGTCTTTTTTGTCTGCCTCCTCCCATTTTTGATATATGTAATTTTGCCTTTTTCTCTGTTTCTCTGCCTTTTTTATACTGTGTATACCAACTTTATACTAGTAGGATATCTTTGAATAATATAAAAATGTACCTTATATTTGGTATAGATCCAAAGTGATACTTTAAATATTCTTTTTAACCCTTCAAGTTTATTAAAAGTTACACATTTTTGGTTTTGTTGAATATTCAATAAATTCTAGTTGTTAGATTTCATAATTATAGTACAAATGAAAAGATTTAATTCAAAGTTACTAAAAATTGAAATATTAAAAATTATGCCAAGCTCCAAAAATATATAAGGTTGTAAGAACTGCACCTCAATATGCCCAAGATTATACATTTAAGGGACAGAAAATTTTGATAACTCAGTTAATGAGTTTCTAAACTTTTACCATGCTGAAAATAATTCGATTATAAAAAATCTTAGAGAGTGTTTGAATTGATTTAAAAGTTGGTCAAACCTATTTCGAAGTCATTTTTTTACTAATGAAAGTGTTTTACAAATATAAAAAATACTACCTTAAAATAAATCAAAAATCAAAAGTTCGTTCCCTACTTAAAAACTATTTTTTTAAGTCAATCCGAACAAACTCTACAATTCTTTATTTCTCCTTTTCCTACACACTCTTTTTTTTTTAAAAAAAAAGATAAATTAAAGGATCACTTTATACCTATGCCAAATTATAATGGACCATTTTTTGTTATTTTGTTGTCAATGTCCTGTATTCTCTTATTTTTTACCTTTAAATACCACACCCAAAACATAAACTTTCACTACACAAAAGTAAACCTTTTTCAGGTCCTTTAAAAATACTCTCACATTCCTCTGCATATCCAGTAGATACAAAACAACAACTCCTCCTTTTTTTCAAAAAAAATATCCTTTGAACAATGGAGGTAAGTCTATTAATTTTTCTTCTTCTTAAGATTGGGTATATTAGTATTATGTTCTTTGAAATTAAAAATATTTTTGTACATATGTATGTTACAGGACAACAGATATTACATGAAGCGTAATCAAGTTCCAGCATTTGGTAGCTGGGATTGTAATGATAATGATTTTCCAATTCCATTTACAGAGTGTTTTGAATCAGCTAGACAAGCTGGTTTAATTCACTATACTTACTCACAAGATTCAGATTTGTATGTAACTGGAGATCTTTACCAGAATCATATTGTTACTCCCACAATGATCGTTGTTCCTCGTCGTAAGGTATTTCTTTCGTTTCAATTTACATGACATAGTCTGTATCGTTCACAAATTTTTCAGCAAAAAATATTCAACAATTGTATTTAAGCTAGTAATGTACTTGACTGGTAGGTCTAACAAGTGCATTATTGTTCAATTACTATTAGTATTTTTAGATCAAACTATTAACTGAGTATATTTTTGTTCTTTTTCACGTAGTTTAAGGATATTTTTGATCGTTTTCCGTTATATTTTTGTGCAGAAAAAAGGAAGTTATAAAGAAGGAAGAAAAGAGGAATGGGTGATGTGTGATAATTGTGAGAAAGAGTCACCAAGGCATGTGGTTCCAGCAACTACTAGACATGTGCACAGAAAGCCTGTTGATGAAGATCTTTACAAGATTTCACCTGACTTGCTCTACACCAAGTCTAAAATGGTACATCTCTTCTTGTTTTTTAATTTTTTTTTTCAATCGGTATACATAGATTATACATTGATTATACGCATATTAATTACTTATTTTTAGGTTAATTGCATCCATAAGTTGTTCAAATGCCTTTTGACTTCTGGTGGAGTTATAGACTTTTTTGGTTAGAGTTGGACAAAATTCAAACTCGAAACCTATAGTTACGATAGTCTTTTTGGTTTATTATATTCAAATATTATTAAAGTTCTTATAAATGTAGTTGAAATAAGTCATTTCGAATCTGCTCTTAATTTACTGTGAAAGATACAGTACAAAATTTGGTAAAAGTGGTGAACCAATTTTTCTTCTTTAGTATCATCCCATGCCCATTCATGTAGTAGAAAAGATGGGACTTTCTGTGTGGACCAATAAAAAGGCAAAATGATCACATTTCTTATCTAGTGTCACATCTGAAGGGACACTACTTAATTAAAGTGCTAATCTTTTTGACAGAAGGATAATAATAAGTATTATATTGTATATAAAAAGAGAATGGAGAGTGGTAGACTGGTAGTTAAAGTAAATAATCACTTTTTGGTGCATTTATTTAATATTTTAATTACACTACATGTTAACTTCAATTATTAAGACAACCTCATTTATTTTATATATATAAAAAAAAAAGTCAAAAAGACTATACAGTATGCAACATTTTCTCTATTAGAAGGGTTCATTCGAATCGTTTTTGTTAGAAAATTACATGTGAGATCGATATTTTTTCTTTTATGAGTAATGTAAAGTCGATGTTGAATCTGTTTTAACTTCGTGTTTATTTTTTAACTAATTGCAGAAAGGCATCCGAGGATTCATATCAAGCTGCTTGATGCCAAGTTGTGGTTGTTGAATTTAAAGCAAAACGCATATAAGAGAAGATGTGTGTTAGTATATATACTATTTTACTATAGAGATGTTTGAAGTGTTTTTTGGGGTTCAAATCAGTAAAAAATGGCCAAAGATATGAAATATTGGTCATCTCAAGAAGATAAATATATCATTATTGTTATATAGTACAAAAATAGAGGAAACTTCCCTATAACTTCTGTTGCAAACAGTATGTTTCTTCTTGGAAGTAATTTGATGTTCTAGTACTAGTAGTACATTATATACTAGTGGTGTTGGCTTTTTGTAATTTATATAATTATGAGGAAATGATATTAGTATTACTTTTGAGTTTATTTCAGAATGTTTTAAATTGGAAATGGATTTATGGTTTTACTTGAAACATCTATATATTAGTTCATAACAGGAACATAAATTTTATAAGATTTGATTAAATGTCCAAACAGTATTTTAATTTTTTTTTTATCTTGTAGTCGAAGTGATTCTACTTTGCGTACAACCAACAGATTCTTATTTGCTTTTGCATCTATAATGGATTACACTGAAATTAAAGGTGGATTTAAAAGGATCTAAAGTCTAAAGAATATTTTTAACAAAAGAAGCAATAAAAAAAGTGAACAACTTTAGTTGACTAAAGAGGAAATAACAATATAAATCAAAAAAATATTTAACACTAGTCAAGTTTTACAATAATAATACGGAGACGTGAGCGAACTTTTGCCAAAAGTTTTACATTTTGTGCTCATATTAGCCATGAGTTGCAATTAGTTTAGTAGACATGAAGTTGACTATTGTTTGAGGAAATTGTTCACAACTTTGGAATAAGTTACAATTCCATAGTCTCACTTATATAACATGAGAACAAATATTTTAATTCAAAGAACAAGGGATAATATTTACTAAGGAAAACAAAATAATAAGATATACCTCATTATCGTATATAATATTGTTACTTGTACTTTCAAAATATTTTATCTTATCACTAATTAAGAATTTCGTACTTATTTTACTATTTGTATTCTTGCTATTAGATTCATAAAAATAGAGAGAGACAACCACGATTGAGGAGGGAAGCAAGTAAGATTCTTATGTATCCCATATATATGTGAATCAATATATGTATTTGTATTTATCGAAAGTGATTCACATGAATTTGAGATACCACATACAAGAGGAGAGAAATACGAATTTTTTTTGTTATTTATACCAAATACATGATAATCTACTTGGATACAATGCATCTAAAAGCAAATTACACCTAAATTTAACCATGTATCCAAGATACATATATCTGAATGCACCAAAATCTGATAAGATACGTAATAGTGTAAACTAGAATGTATCTAATTAATTAGCTCTTAAAATAATGAAATTATGTTTACCGATGAATTAAATATACCAAGTTCCTTTTTCCAAATTATATCAGTAAATATCGGAACCACCTTTATTAAGGAGGGTGCCAATTCGCTGAAAAAAAGTGTAGATAAGTAATATTTATACTATATGGTCAAAACATGTTAATATTCCTTCTATCTGATCTTAATAACACTCTTTCATGACATGCATACATGATACAACATAATTAGTACAAGGCACATGTTTAGTAATGATAATATGAATGAAGAGGTTGGGATGTGCTTGTCCCTTCCAAAAGTATTGAACAGAAAGCAGAAAAGAAGAAACAGGGCTACATACATGAACAAAATACATCAGAAATACGTACAAAGCAAAATATACAAAGAAGAGCACCTATTAAGATTGCAAAGCTCCAACACTTGCAGCAAGTTCCATCACCTTGTTTCTTAAGCGCTCAGGGTAACAGAAGAAATCAACAAAAACTCGCCTCTCGATAGTCTTCTCTGTTTTTTGATGTTTGTAAATCTGTTTTATGACGAGGATATCATTTATTAGTTTACAAAAGAGAGACAATGTGTCTCAAAACCAGAACAAATACAGAGGAACCATTTGGGAAATTAAACGGCACAAGAAATTAGCAATGGTGTCTACTTAAGGACAGAAATAAGAAGACTTGAGATGAAAGCTTACATCATTCTTCTTCAAGTGCTCACTGTTCACGTCTTCAATGGCACGAGATAGGTTTTTATTGTAGTCTTCCAATATCGCTAGCTGCTTCATTATTGTCTATACAGGGAAGGACATAAATGTGAAGTCATATTAAAATCTTCAAATTAAGCAAAAGGGACCGAAGGTATCAGCAAGTAAACATCAAAAGGATTTGCACCAAGAATGAACAGTAAAAATTATCTAACTATTCATACAACTTAAAAGGGTGAGGTAAGCTAAGCAATTAAGAACAAAAAAGAAAAAAGGGCACTTAATAATGACCCATACAATATGGAAACGAAGAGTGAAAAAACCCCTCCATTAAGTAAACAGATACTACTATTCAAAAGCAAGATATATTGTTCTCCATGTATTATTTCCAGACTGAGGAATCCATAAGTCCAATTTGAATGCAGTAATTAGTTAAGCACTGGAAGAAATATAAACCTCGAAAGCCTTTAAGCAAATAGAAAGGAAGGGAAAAGAGAGATAGAAACCATATTTATAGAAAGCAAAAGGTACAATGGTAACTAACTTACCTGAGGTGATAAAATTGGTTGAGCAGTTGTTGATGAAGCAAACAATAGCTGCTGCAAACTTTGAAGAAGAGTGCACCTAATATATGACGTAAGAAAGGTATAAGATGTTTTCACACCATGACAGTTTTACATCTCAAATCACAATCATTATTGATTTTAAATTTAATGAATTGCCATTATGAAGGAGTACAAGTCCATGCAGAGATTCTTAGCCACCCTTACTACATGGTGACCTAAAGTAACTTTTAAAGAGATCCAGTATATAACCAGCTCCAAAAGATTTCAACACAGTTCTCATAGAAACTATCCGGTTCAAAACTCCCATCTTCCATGAGTAATTACTACAATTACTACAAACACAACCTCACGAATCTTTCAAGACACTTCACAGCTACATCAAATGAAACTAATTAAGTTAGAGTGGATCCTAATTACAGGCCCTTGTAGTTCCAGCAAGTCATCAATTGTAAATGAACACATGGTTGACCACTTGTCACAAAAAAAAAAAAGAAGAAGAAATACACACTACACAACTTGACAATTTAACAAGTGTGTGTTCTAGACATACCTTATACAATTATTATGAACTATAAACAGATCAATTGGGCAGACAACTAATATTTGCTGGTTTTCATTTTCCCTCTCAGCAATGATTCATCAGGACTACACATGATGATAAGTTGGTGTTCACTTGAGATCAAAAACAATATAAAAACGTGGATAAACCAATGTGTAACAGTGCTATAGAGAGCTATGTCATATCGTATTGTGTATAGATCTTATTATAAAGCTTCAAAGCTGTACCCAATATGATTAAGACTGTTAGAATACTGAAGAGGAGTTATATAGGGACTGGTATAATTCGACAGAATTGAGAACTTACAGTTTATTTATACATTGATCTCTATCCTGAGGAAGAGTGTGTTCAAGGTCATATTGCAAAGACATAAGATCTGAACGAAGGCTTGATATCTGTTGAACAATGCCAGGTGCCGATACATATGTTGATGGACCAGCTTGGATATCTGAAAAAATAATTAGTATGAATAATAGCCCAGAAATGGTGAAGTAATATTTCAATGTCCAGATCCATTACTTGAATATAAACTTAAAAGGTCTCTGATGCCATGAAGAAATGTATCGCGATCATCCACTGCTCCTTGTTCTTGAACATCAGATGCAGCTTGGATCAGTGCCATGCATCGACCCTAGACAAAAAAGTTGCATGAGTGAACAACTAAGAAAGCAAAGATAAATATTGTACTCCTATGTCCCAATAAAAGATGAAAATTTTCTTTTAAGAGGCCTCGAAGGTATAACCATCCCGAGTCCATATTTCAATCGGCGTCCTACATTGCCTCTTAAACATGCATCAACCAGTAACACAACCTTAACTTCCCAAGATTCTTACTAAAAATCAAGTACTTCAATCAACCGCACCAATTGACAATCCACAACCCCACATTAATTGGGTTCATCTATATGAATCCTTTGTATCTATTCAACTATCTTCAGCTACACTTTAAATTGCTCCATAAATGTTAAATTTTGAGACCAACACAAACATGTCATTTTTGCTGCAAATTAAATTTTATAACCAAAATGCCAGCTTCATCGTTCAATTAATGGAAGTACATAAATTGACATGGCTAAGGACATTATGGAAAGTTGAATAAGGCTTAAAAAGGAGGCAAAGGAACAAGCTGATGAAGGTTTTCATGTTTAATTCAATTCCTGTGACATGACTCAATCTACGCATATACTTACCACTCTGCCTTTTGTTGCTGACAGGTATCCATGCAGCTCAGACTCAATAACTTTAAGCAATGAAAATGCCCCAAGCATGGTCTTCTTTTCCAACTGACATGCTACTTTCAGAAATTGATGTCTTGCAACATGATTAATTAGATGATTTATGAACTGCAGAGAAACCCTAATTAAGTAAGAATTACAAGAATTTCTAAGCATCAATGTACTAAATAGAAAATGCTGCATGCCAAATTAGCAAAAGCGAGCAAATTAATATCTGCTCCTTATGATGGTTGTTAGTAGAAGAAATAAAGAAGATAACTGTATAGGAAACACATCACCCTTTTTTACACTTACCGTTTTTTGCCGGTTAATGTAGAATTCTTGGCGCATGACCTTCAGATCATAATCTCCTAGATATTCCACAAGAATAGAATTCAACAAAAAAATATATGTGAACTAAAATTTAAGATCACAAGGTCAGACGACAATATAATTACCTTCCAAGATGTACGTGTCTTGTAGCTGAGCCAGCTCCCAACAAAGATCAGGAATAGTCTGAAAAAGAACTGCAGTAGGTAATATGCCCAAATATGATATCAAAATCTAAAGACATCAAAGAATCTTTAAGTTGTCTTGAATTTTAGAATATGTCTGTTCATTCCTAGTCGATCACCTCAGTTGATATTGAAGCATCACCTAATCAACAATATGATATCTCTAAGGGTGCTAACTGACCAGAAGAGATAATCCACGAGTGCTAGACAAACCTCGGATAATAACTTCTCTTCTTTGCGATATAAAATTGAGATTTCTCCAACTAGTTCAGCATGTTTTCTCCTGAAAAGAGATAGAGAATTTAATGATAAAGTAGCCCACAAGTAAGGATATAACATTCATTTTTAGAACAACAATGTTAAGTAAATGGCAGAGTATCATTAAATAAAGAGATACCAACAACTACAAAGTTTATCAACAGATTG